TGCTGCTTCTCTGACTGCTATGTCTAATACATTTCCCATTATAGGATACCTTTGACTCATTACTGCTAAGTATTTTAATAATTTTGATTGAAAACAATTATGCTGGACTTATTCCTCATAGAACGATTTATTTTTTAATACTATAACAAAACCAAGCAAGATAACCTTCAGAGATTAGAGCTGGAAAAAAAAAAAAACCAAGTACTCTTCATGCCCAATACTGAGAAAAGTATAATTCAAATATTTACTGTGCCTACATTTTGGCCTTAAATCTGGTGACCAGATATGCACAGGTCACATTTGAATGTAGAACACAAGTGCATACTAAAGCACTTGCCAAATCAGAACAACATGTTCTCAGGGATTACTTGTAATACTGGCAAATACCTAAAGTAGATAATGAGCCTTTGTTTTTCAGGTGTCAAGGAATATACTTTGCACCTTGCAGTTGAAGCCACTAATACAGTTTGAAAAGTTACTTTCCTTCTGTTTCCTTGAAAGACTGGAGCTCTCCTTTCTTTCATGCCTTTGTTGTCTCCATGTTGTATATGGAACTGCCATGTGTGGTACTGCACAACAAAAGAAGCCTAAACCAGCTGGAGAGCCCTCTACAACTGTACAGCAATGCTTTGTGAATAAATTGCATTTTCTCAGGGTAGTAGAGATAGCGAGGGGGTGCAGCTTGAAAGTTAGTTTGTAGAGAGACTGGCTGCTTTCGTGCTGGTCTGTTTAGATTTGTCACACGTCAGCTTTGAAAATTTAAAATTAACATTGCATTTTTTCCAAGTATCTCCACAGGCCCTAAAAGAAACTGCCTTTGTTCTAGGATAATTTCCCATTGCTCTCTAGAGAGTTTAGTATGGAACTGGTGTTTTAATCTCAGCTCTGCAACAAGGTACTTGGTGACAATGCTGGTATAAACATACACATGGTATAAAATACAGATATGTAGGTTTTGTTAAACTAAGTTCTTCAGGACAGCTGAAGGGACTGTTAGGTATTGTTTCCTTTAGGTTCTCTAGCTGTCTGCTTTATCCTGCTTGTTTTGGCTCAACTTGTAAGCTCTTTTATCCAGCAGGAACACCTCCTGTTTGGATCAGTACGTCCTGCTCTGTAATGTTAGATCAACTGGTGTTCAAGCAAATCCAGGTAGTAGGGTCTTCCATCATCAATAAATATAAATGTGCACACAGGACCTAAGTGAGATATGGCCCTTTCGTGTTCATACTTTTTGCCTTTTTTCAAACCGCTGCCTTCAACCTCAAATATCCCTCCTCACACAGACATGTTGGCAGTAATCAAAATCAACAGAAAACTAAAGTGGGGTTGTTTCCCATAGTCAGATGTGATTCTGGACAGAATAATACCTCTTCAATATCTCTATATTACCTTTTTTGTCCTGCCAAAAGCTGTTGTCTCAAGAAATAAGTACTTTCTGAGAGTTAAAGAAGCTTATTGCCTTTCAATACTTAGTGCAGTATTTGTATGACTAATACTCACAGCAGGTGACTGATGTAATTCAAATAACCTTCAGATACCTGGCTATTCAGAAATGGGTCACACTTCCACTTTCTCCTGACTTGGATTGGGTATTTTTTAGTTACATAAGTTAACAGGAAGACTTCTTACAGAACATTTCCCTTATACAAGAATATTTTAAAAATTAAAATTAGAAGGATGCTATTTTAGCAACACTTAATTCACAGACTGGTGTTCTTTCTCTTTTCATCCTGGGCAGAATTAGGGACGATTCATCAGATTACTGCATGCAGTTTTACAATTCCAGTCTGTCGAAACAAACAGGTAAGAAATCCCCAGCAATCTGAAGCTAAGGTACTACAGCAGCAGTGCTCTTCTGTGGGAGAATATTTCCAAGAATGCTGCAGTACATTTTTTCACTGTATATTGCAGAGCTGTGCTGCATCTTGTCCTCTAAAACATATGTCAAGAGACATGTTATGTGTGTGAATAGCAAGGTGGTTCCCTAGCAACAATAAATAGAAGAAAGCTCAGCCCATTCAAGTGATTTACCTCTGTAAGTGTGTGGCAGCAAAGATGGATTTTGAATACTAAGGGAACTCATTAGCTGGAAGAAGAAAAGCAGCAAATAAAGAACTGTAGATACATCTTATCCAGCACTCCTGTTGTGTACAGCATAATTGGGAATTTGCATAAGATGTTCTTAATGTGAAATATCACCTGTGTGACCTGGTAGGACAAGACAATAAAACACAATACACAGTCACTTTGACTACTTAAGATTTCACATAAGGGTGCTGCATCCCCAAAATTCAGAACTGCCTGAAGATTTTCATGGAAGCAGTTAGCATTTCAGGAGTGTCCTTAAAGTCTTCAGCACTCTTTTTTCCCTTCCAGCAAACCTGTTTGGTATGATTTCATTAAATTCCCTTCCAGCATTCTTCCCTTCCAGCAAACCTATTTGGTATGATTCCATTAAATTCTGATTCATCAGTGTTTATGATGTGTGTAGCTTAATGCAATCATGCATTCTCTTTGTAATTGCAAGTCCATCTCCAGGCACAGAAAAATGTACAGAGAGATGAACAGGTATTTAACAAGTAAGAAATCCTAACTTTAAAAGGGAATTACTGTAGTGAATAATGCTTGTCTATATCAATTTAGATAAGGAGATTTTAAGATTATAAATCAGAGTAAGACAATGCACCTCAGATTTTTACTTACAGAAAGCATAGTTTCCATTGTAATTACATGATTAAAGTGTTTCCAGTTATAATGTGTTGGTTACATGTTTGTAACGTGTTGGTTACAAGTCAGTTTTGTATGACAATTTAAAAATTTATAGATTGTAAAAAACTCCCTAGTTAACGTATACCAACTGAAAGCTTCTGTGGACTACACTTTGGATAAGCTCCTCAGTTAAATTCTGTAGATTTATTGCCTATGAAATATTTTGTTTCCATTTAATTCTTGAGGCTATAGCATTTTAGAACATTTCATTTAATAATAGCTTTTCACCTTTTGGCATCTAGCCATGACCATATAAATGACACATTCTCTAATTTTCTAATGCAATCTAAAGTAAGGCTAGGAAGGACTTGGATTAGTGCAGCAATTGTATAACGGTTCTATCAATATTTTTTTCAGTATCCATGCCATGCCACTCATATTTTCCTGTCAGAGTTCTGTCTTCCTCCTTGATTTTTTCCCCTGCTTTTGCAACATCTGTGAGGTTACTTTTGGCATGTTTTGGTCCTTTGTACTGCACCTCATATAATCCCAGTCCATTTTCTTGTAGTCACTAAATGTCCCGATTTTTTGTGTTTTTTTGGGTTTTTTTGAATTGCATTTCATCTTGTCATATCTCCTTTCTGGAGTGTTTGTAAGGCGTTCTTCTCTGTTTGGCATGATTTCGTTTCCCTTCCTAGATGTTCAGTTGTACTTACAAAGCCACTACAATGTAAATGGCTGCATCATGGAAGAGCACTGTGGGTTTGGAAATGCAGTATGGAATATAAGCATGGCACTTGTGTAGCTCCAACCCAGTTTAGTCACCCATTGTCACTGTACCTGGACTGTAAATGGTTACGTTGGACAGGCTGGCAGAGTTTGGAAACACAATTCTAGCTGGACAGCATGGGCCTAGTGAAAAAAAAGCCATCAGCATCAGAACAAAATAGGTACATGAAGATAAAGAAAATTATTAAACAAAGAGTTTTGTAACAACTCACAAAGGTCTAGATTGCATGAGCCAAAATTATGTAGGAATAAATGAGGAAATTCCTATGGTTCAAAAACTAACATAAGAATCCAGGAGAAATGTGGGAATAACTAGAGTTTTTGGATTTGATTATCAAGGAAAAAAAAATATATAAAGCTCTCCTACTTTTTTGCTTGTTTGTTTTTTTATGGTTTTTTTTTTTTTTTTTTGTAATCATGAAGATTGCTTACAGTGTATTTGTTAAATGCAGATGAGAGTGACAACTGTGTTTGAAGTGGTGCTGGAGGCTGTGCAGTGAGTAGCCCTTGCTGGAGCTGGTGGATAGAGAGAGCAGCCGCTCCCTGTGGCTCTGAACGAGGCAGGTCCAGTTACAGCCGCGGGGCAGGAGGCAGGGCACGGGCATGGGCATGGTGGGCTGGCAAAGGGCAAAGAGAGAACTGGTGCAGGGAGTGAACCAGCCCCCGTGATGTGTTCGCTTGGAGAAAGCATCGGCATATCGAGCAAACGAATAACCTCCCGGTTTTCTAAGATTTTTTGTAAAAAAAGAAAAGTGTCAAAAGATAAATACATACCTGCATTTCTTCTCATACAATCAACCTGAAAATTGGGCGTGACCGAACTCAATTCAGTCAAACAGGTACATAAGGAGAAGCTCAAAGATGGGAGTTCTCCCCGCCCTCACACCTTAAGGGGAAGAAATGCTTTATAAAACCGTTTCCTTCACCAGGACCCGTTTCTCAGAGCACAGGTGGAGCTGCGCTCGCAATTTATTGTTTTCCACAATGAACTGAATGCAGAGAGGGACTGCTGCTAGCTATGCCCACGTCGGCATCACTTTTATTTCCATCAAAGCTCACTGCACCTTTCCCTTCCCCCGGGCCCCTC